GAGATTAAAGTTATAATCTATGTTGAAAGAAATAGACATTAACTTGTATTTAATTATTATTACACTTTAGAAAAAAAATTTTTAATATCTCTGTTCATAAAATATACAAGAAAAATGATGGAAAGAAAAATAAAAAAATAATAAAAGGATCATTTTAGAGATTATATAAGATAAAGAAAACATACATACATAGACATATTTTATATATGATTAAGAAAAACTTTTCCTCGCATAGTTCACGCAGGCATTATTTATTTTTTAACGTACTTAATATATGTATATATTTAAATAGATATAGATATAGATATAGATTCAATAGATATAGATTTCAATAGATCAATATTTAGATTATAATCAAAAATATAATTTTAAATTTAAAACGTATAAATGTACAAATTTATTTTATATAAATTTATTAAATTTGTGTATAAAATTTTTTAATCTAAATTTTAATATAAATTTCTAGTACAAATATTATGAGTGCCTTCTTGTGAGACAAACGTACAATATATTATAACTATCCAATAATAATTTTTAAAGCCTCGAAAATGTCCTATAGTCAACAGTCAATTACTTAACCAAGTATCTACAATATCTACATGTATTCTTGCTAAGAAAAAGCATGATCCTAAGATAAAAAATATTATTATCTATATGTCGTGAAGCGTCTGCAGGTGGCTGCATCATCTATTCGATCTAGACAACGGCATCTTTACAAAACTCGCTCAAACCGCACCGGAAATAAGTTGGCGCTGCAAGTTCATATTTTTTAATGAACTATAGCTCAAACGATTGTTCCCTAATTGCTCCCTCCGAATCAACAATTGCTCCCTTTTTAAAATTATTATTTTTTGAAATATTTAATAAAAACAAAAAATTTCTAATTTTTATTGAAAAACATATTTATAATAATTCTATGCAACTAAATCCGGCATACAACGATTGCTCCTTTATTGCTCCTTATTGCTCCATCATAATTTTAATGATTTATTGCATTTTTATTGAAAAATTAACAAATTAATCATTTCACAAGTAACGCCGCCGCCGCCACTATCGGCCGCCTATTGTAACTATGGCTCGGCAGCCATTGGCGGAAATATTCAAACGTAATATAATAGCTCTATTGTTCATAACTATATCTCAAAGAGTTTAGTTAACATTTTCTATTGATTTTCGGTAGAATAACTATTTCTCGCTTCGCTCTATTGGGATTTTCAATCGCTCTATTCGTCGCTGCTTTTCTGTAAGAGCTGCAAGTTGATTGGCTTAAACCAAAACTCGAACGCAATTCTAGCAATGTGGACACAAGGCTTAAATGCCCATCTACAATAGGTGTTTTAAGCCCTAAGCCCTAAGAAATTTACCAATCACAGTCAATTTATTCTCTTCAAATTTAATTGTGATTGAACAATTTCTTAAGGCTTAGGGCATAAAACACCTATTGTAGATGGGCACTAAGGCTGAGTTTCCACTGAGCGCGTCACGCATCGCGTTATCCGTCGCGACCAATCAAAACATCTTATTTTATTACATTATTTGTAATGGGATGTTTAGATTGGTTAAGGGACTCTATTGAGTCCACTGCTGTTCGCTGCTGTGTGCGCGCGCCGTGTCGGATGGTGGGGGGTCCCAACGTCCACGAAATGCACGAAATAACAGTACTGTGTCGACCTACACAGAATTCACAGAGATAGTATGCAATAGTATGCGCCAACGCTCACCACGTGTTTCAACATTTATTTTCGTTCATGATTTTTTTCATTCTATACGGAAAAAATCAAAACCGCTTTGTTGATAAACAGTAAGTAGTATCTAGTTTTAATTTTTTGATTCAGTTCCGAATTAAATTTTCGGTAGATAATTCTTTTTATTCACTGTGTGATCTTTTGTGCAACTTATCGTTAGATCGCTATAACCTATATCAAACAATGAGATAAAAAATACATTAAATAAATGAAAAAATACATTTTGAAAAATTTTAGTCATCTAAAAGCGTAAGCGTAAGTGTAGCGAATTCAAATTTTGCAATTTTTTTTGGTGCACGTGAACGTGTGTACGCCGTATGTTCTTCTACCGTGTGAAACACGTGTACCACGTGGTGGAATATATATGTTATAACGTGTATCGGAAAATGAGATAAAAGATACATTGAGTAAAATAAAAAATATATTTCGGAAAATATTAAACCCATTATCGTACAATAACTGTAAGAGTATGCGGTAAGAGCATTACTAGCAAGCAGTAAAAGTTGACCAAATACAATCGATTATTCTTGAATTGTAAAAATCTTATTAGTCGGTCGCTTACTGATTACGCGTCAGGTGATCCTAAAGCCGTGATCCTAGCCGGTTTTTTTTTCAGGTTTTTTCTTAGCACTAATCTTTTAATTGGCTTTATAGAAATGCAAAATTCTTGTCTAGAATTAAAGTACGCATCAAAATCTAGGTCATGGTGGTCGAATTTATATCGAAAACGAAAAAAAATTAATATTTTTTGTTATACGTGACGACCACCACATATAAATTCGACCACCATGACCTAGATTTTGATGCGTACTTTAATTCTAGACAAGAATTTTGCATTTGTATAAAGCCAATTAAAACAGCGGCAGCGTCAAGAAAATGTAGTGGGGGAAGAAGTTCAGACCGTCTAAACTTTTTAGCGTACCGCAAAATTCAACGAAACTTCTTCCCCCACTACATTTTCTTGACGCTGCCGCTGGTTTCTAGCGTCAATGAAATCGCAGCTTTTACATCTACTCTTACGACTATTGTAGAATGGAGGAACCTTATAGTCATTTAGAAACTAAGCGTAAGTCTGGCGAATGTGAGCAATCTAAATTGTGTAATTTTTTTGTTCTTTCTTTTGTGCTCGTGCACGCGTGTGTACCACGTGGTAGTAAAAGAACACAGAGCTCCCGATATTTCAGATTTATAAAAGAACATTTTTCTACATTAACAAAATTAAAAAATAACTTATTTTCTTTAAAATAATTAATTATTTAATAATGATATTTAACACACACATGCGGACTATGTAATAATGTCAGTACTTAGCAATGCAAATGGAAACAAGATAAACTTATTGTTAGATTATACATATAATCTTAACGCTATAATTATAAATATATTATGATATTATAATGCATTGTAGCATATGCTAAAAAAGAAAGGATTATTATTCTTCTTATTTTTTGTCTTCTTTTAGAGAGACAATATGACAACCCACAATAAATTTTCATATTGCGAGAGTTGTAGTCGATATCCCTATGTCGGCAGAGTATCCGTAGGAGAAAAGGATAGTGTCGACTTCATCTATCAATTTGTGAAGAAAAGATTTGTTGCCGTGGATCACGGGAGTATCAGCATATTACATACTAGTTCTGACATAATTGGGCCACCCAAATTTCAAAATTACGGACAACTATTTCATTTACCAATCTCGGTAAGACTTCCGAATAGCCCCTACCTCCAAATTTAATGAAACTTGCAGCAATTGTATAGCATTAAAGGACACACCCACGCACTATAAAAGATTTTGTACGGAAACAAATAGGAACGGAGAAATTAAAAAAATACAAATAATAAATGGTATGATTTACTAATTACTAACGAATGATTACTGATTACATATTAATATGTGTGTACAGACAGTTACATATAAACGTCGGAGTGGCAAAGAGAAACCAAAACCTAGACCAAGTTTAGCACGTAAAGCCCGTATCAGATTAGCGGCTCGCAGTCGTGAGATGCCGCGACTGCGATTGCGATTACATTTTTTGACCAATGAAAAAGAAGCTGCTAAAAAATCGGACATTTCTCATTGGTCAAAAGACGTAATCGCAATCACAGTCGCGGCCGCGAGCCGCTAAGCGACAGAAGATGCTTCATGACAAGAGAAAGACGCTTTCGGACTATAGATTAATAATAAATGAATATCTGTATTAAATCTTCACCTTACTAAATACATGAGTCTACCATATACTAAAAATATGAATACTGAAAATATTAGCGAGGCCCCGTACGCAAGGTAGAACGTTCCATTCACTTGGCGTGTATAAGGATTTATATGTCTACTAAATCTTCGCCTTACTAAATAGATGAGTCTACAATATACTAAAAATAGATACGGAAAAGATTAGCAAGACCCCTACGCAAGGTAGGGCGTTGCCCCTCCTCTCCACAACCACCTTCTCTACCAACGCCTGTTTCACGACAGTTTTCTACCAGATTAAGTCTTGTTTTCGTAATAGATGTTGCTTTTGCAATAGAAAAGTGTTGTATCAAAGTCGGGGGGAGGTGTTCCGCCCTAGGCACTTTGCCCTCCAATCCCCATTTAGGCTCTCTGTCGCGCAATGATGTTTCAAATTCGCACACTTCTTGCATGCGCATGTGATTACAGAGAAATCGGGTGTGAGGTAAAATTTATTAACCTACACCACTCAAATTTAATCAAAATTCAACCACTAGATTGTCTATAAATTAGAATAAAAATTTCGAATTTTTGACGCCAATTTCTCCGTTCCTATTTGTTTCCGTATGTACAAAATCCTTTATGGTATGAACGTGTCCTCTAATGGTCAACAATTGCTGCAAGTTTCATCAAATTCGGAAGTAGAGGCTATTCGGAAGTTGAGTCTAATCGCTATTTGTTACAAGATTTTCTGCTATTTGACAATTTTGATTTTCTAATATAGACGGTAAAGGATGATACTGGTGTTTCAACATCTCCGTGGCTATACAAAGCTGCCACGAGACCCAAACCGTACGATTATTATGCAACAAAAAGATATATTGGTACGTAATATTTAAATCGATAAATAATATATTGTTAAGGAAGATATGCTTTTGCTGAGAGGAGAGTAAATATAATAATATTTTCTATTTAAAGATATCGAGTTTCATGAAGCTGTATATCCAATCAGAGTCTGTATTTACGAATTATGTAATCCTGGAAGCGTAATTCAAATTTCGGCTCAAGATTCCAATAATCACTGGATTCAGTTATGGGATGAATCGTCTCAGATTGTACCCCCGATATCAAGATTATTTTCTCCGCCGTTGTCGTATCCGTGCAACTTCAAAACCAAAATGCTCAGACTAGTGTTTAAGGGCAGTACAGTTAACAATTTTACAAAACTGGATGGTGTGATGCTTATCGGTACATCAAATTTGATCCTTCCTAAAAATCCTAACGAAAGTTTAAGTAATCTGTTGAAAGGAATTAACAGCATCTACTCTTCACACCACGACGATGTTCATAATTTAACAGCAGATTCAAAAAGTGCACACTTGGATATAGTTCATCTGCAACGAAATTTTCCTGAATATTGTGTTATTTATAAAAGGTATTATTATCATTGACATGAAATAATATTTTAATCCATTTTTTCTGTTAATAATAAATATTAATTTAAAAATTAAGGAGGGGCTGGGGTGACGGCAAAACTTTCTTGATGTGGATACTAACACCGTTAATTTTGTTTTTCCTGTATTTGTCTTTGTCTAACGAAATGACATCTGTCCTTGTTCGATACCTGTGTCATCTCTACTTATTACTAACCTGCGTGTATATTTTTGTGGAAAATATATACGATTTTCTCGAAGTCCAGATTTGTTTTCCAGGCTTTCAATCTCAATTTCAAAGGTATGTTATTGTTTGTGCACGTATTCTGAAGAGTGGAAACATTTTATTTTGTATACATATAACTTATACGACTGTTTATATTAGAAAATATGGTTATGAGGACAGCATTTTTTTTTCAATTATCACTAATTTTTTAAATTCCCACTCTTTATTAGTACCTATACCTTACTTCTGTAAAAAGATTTTGCGGTCTATAAAGCCATTTCAAAGAACGAGCCCTGACTGTTTTTGTCAGTAATTGTCCCCTGTCCAGGATCCCCTTAATTTATTCCGATAATATTTGCAGCGACATAAGAAGGATTTCTTATAAGAATAATTTGAAGCACAAAAAGGTATCTCAGGAGGTAATCCCTGGTTATGAGCAACCTCTTGATCAGAGATATCCGCGTCATATTTTATTGAAAAGTAATTCGAATTGTGCCAAGAGTATGAAACTCTCATTGGATGAATCCAAGGAGCTATCACGTTGCAGTTTATCTGCGCTTCCTGTAAAGTATTCTAAGAAGTCTATTTTTCATCACAATATTTATTACAATGACATTTCGTACTTTGAGTATTAAAGTATTTATTTTGTATTATATTAATTATATTTTATCTTTACAGACTGAAATACTACTAAAAATATTTAATTACTTAGATGTGGTAACATTATGCCGCATGAATGAAGTAAATAATTGGCGCTTTGATATTTTAACACGGGATCCTCTACTCTATACACGTTTGAACATGCGATGGATTAAATCTGACAAAAAATATATGTGCAAATTATTTTGTTACTTTGCATCTAGATGTAATTATTTGCAACAATTAGATCTTACAGGATGCAACTTTGATGTAAATGATTTCGTAAACTTTCTTGATAATTGCGGCAGGCATTTAACGCATCTAAGATTAAGTGACTGCAACGATGGAGAATGTTTAAATCCTGTCCTACTTAAAACTTCAGAGACATGCAAAAATTTGAAAGGTATATGCATATAGTATATGTATATAATTGTCAAGATTATTGATAAATTGTATAACAATTTGTAATACAAATTTTTCTTAGAATTGGATCTAACTTATTCTTGCATAGACGATGAAGGATTTTCGTATATCGAGAGGCTAAATAATTTGGAACACTTAAACCTTTCTGATACTGGTATAACAACCGAACGTCTTTGCAAAATACTGCAAAATAATCAACGGATTCGTCAGTTATCGACAGGCTTTATAGACAATGCAGTTCTAATAGAGTTGGAAAATTCGTGTCATGACTTGGAAATAATAAATTCATTTTTGTACGCACGTCGTCTTACATCTGAGGGTATTAATGCTCTCGCTAACTGTAAGAATTTACAAAAAGTGTCACTTGTGTAAGTGTGTGTGCTACATTTTCTTTTAAAACACACATTATTGTATGTTATCTTTTGCGAGCATCTTGAAAAAGTTACATGAATTTTCTCTTTGCAATTAAAGTACTGTATTAATTATATAATTTTTGTTACAGATTCGATTATTCAGTTACTGATGATAGCTTATTTAAATTACTTTCCTCTTATCAAAACTTGCAAAAAGTTTTTTTGCACTATGCTGTCCTCACTGATCACCGGTTGGAATTACTAGCGCAGTGCAAAAACTTAAAAAAGTTATATCTTTTTGACGCAAAACTTGATATACCTGATAATTATTCCGTTATTTTGGAACAATGTCCTAAACTGCAGATGATTACTTTCATTTTCGGTAATATAAATCAATTGGTTAATCAATTGGTTAATCAATTGGTTAATCAATGGAAGGAAAGATATCCGCACGTGTCCGTCTATACATTCTTTATGATTAATTGAAATAGTTTTTGTTTGATAGTTTAGGACAAATCAATTTACTTTTTATATGTTTACTTACAAATTTACTTTATCTTTCTTTATCTTTATCTTTTCTTTTTCTTTATCTTTCTTTTTTATCTTTCTTTTAACGGTGATACAGATTTAATTGTTAGAGTAAAACAAAATAAAGTAGTTTTACTTTCCGATTTGTCAATGCACGAACTCGAGGTTCTTCCGAGGCCGTCCGAGGGATCTACAATTGTGCTCTGACATGGCCATCGGCGTTGATATCTTAGGACAATTCGTATGCAAAACCAGACATTTACAGTTGTTCGGTGGAAATAAGACAACTTCCATTAATTCTATGTCATCAGTGGCTGGATTTATGTCTCCTAGAATTGCCTCTCCGATGCATCCCAGCGGGTTGGTCTCGTTCTCATTCTATATTTACTTTATTGATATATTCTTATATGTATATGTATATCTTACTTATATGTATATCAACTATTTTGATTAATCTTACAGAGGTGGTTTTGGATGAGGCGGCGGAGGCGGAAGAGGCAGGGGCCGTGGTGGCGGTGGCGGTGCAAGACGCGACAGGGAATTAATTGACACCACGATCAAAATAACACGTGGACTATACAAGGGAAACGTGGGTATTGTGAAAGATGCAACAGAGGCAACAGCGCGCGTGGAATTGCACTCCACGTGTCAAACAATTTCCGTCGATCGATCTCGTATAGCAAACGTCAGCGTCCCGACAAAGGATGGTGGCTTCAGCAGTTACAACAGAACTCCGGCTTACGGTGCTGGTGGGCAGTCGCCGATGTACGCGAGGGACGGATCAATTAAGACACCTATGCACGATTTCCAGACGCCTATGTACGAAAGTGAGTATATTTACACATGTATTTTTTTCTTTTATATATGAGATGATGTGGAAAGTACAATTTTTTTGTTATAGATAGAAGTAAATTTTATTGTTATATATATGGTTCTCGCACCACCCCTCATTACAGTTCAATGACGCCGTTTCACGATGGATCGTGAACACCAGGACAATCTGTAGCTTGGGATCCGTCAGTTACTAATACACCCGCCAGGACGAACGATTTCGACGGCTACAGTATAGAAGGATGAGAAGATGACGGAGGAGTCGGAGAACGTGGACGAGACTGAGAGCACCGCTCCTAGCGAAGAAAAGAAGCAGGAGGAGGTGAAGGACAGCTCGGACTCGAGTCAAGATGCGACGGACACAGCAGCGGAAGCCTTTATCCTCATCGGAGTCCCAAAATCCCTCCAACACTGTTACTACTGAGGAAAACAAGGAATAACCTCCGTTCGCCCGTTTTACCACTACTTTTATGTAAGTATCTCACAATCTATGATCCTTTTGAAATCACCGGCATCACCGATTTTTCCCTTAAAATGTACGACTCGTTAATGTAATATCATTGCTTTAAGCTACTTGAAATTACGCTTATCATATAATAAGCAATCTGCAAACGTTATTAACATGAGATTTGTTTTACTATAGGAGGTACCAAGGCGGCGCACATATTGGGGTCACACACAAAGCCAGTCCCCCTCGTCTATTTTAACTAATTAACACCTTCTTGTCGATCGTTGCTTCAACCAGCGCATCGAAGTCTTGCTTTTATTTTCTCATTACCCCTAGACAACGCAGTTTTCCGAAAAACATAACGAAAATGCCGAAGAACATGCTACGCGCGCTAGGCTATATGAATTAGTATTTAGAGATTGACTCATTTTTTGTCTCTGCCTATGTCATAATACTATATTATATCTTCGCAGAAAAAGATAGTTCCAGTCTGGAACGATTATAATCTGGAATATTATTCTGGGGAGATAATAATTTAGGAAGAGACAGCTAACTCGTTAATCAAGCGTTAATTCGAATCGTCGATGTAATTTGATCCTAAAGTTTCAACTATTTAAACAGTTTTTTTATCTTTGTCCTGTTTTTTTTTCGCATTTATCACTATTACTTATTACTATTATTACTATTATCTTCGAGTGTCAAACTCTGTAAAGCTAATCTAGCCGGATTAATTCTTTGTTTAATCAGATTAACAAACTTCTTTATTGCGTTCTATGTAAATGTATATTGCATTTATGTATTTTAAATTTTATTTTGTTTATCGAGTAATACAAAAATCTTGTCATTACGCTGGTTAATTAGCGATAAGCAACGCGAGGTGTAGAGCATACGTTGTTCATGTACAGTGATAATATTATTGTAAAATATATTTAATATGGAGATATATATACTTATTATTGTAAAATTGAGACGAGCGTGGCCTAGTAGACAGCGCACTGGTCTACCTACTGAGCCAAAGGTCCCGGGTTCGATTCCCGGTAGAGCTAGAAAATTTTATTC